TAAATTTCTAGTCGAACCAAAATCAATCGGACAATCGGAATAGTTATGGTGTTATGTGTTATCATAGTGTTATTAAGATGTTATACATTTTCATGACAATTTTATTTTGATGTGTGTCATTTTTTTGGAATCATTATTGGATTATGTCAGCCCATTCAATTTGTCAGTTTCAAAATTTATTAAACGCAGCCCAACCCAACCGATTTCGAGGGGGAGGGGGGGGAGTTGCTGGTTTCCATGGGCGGCAGTAGTACCTTACCATCACGTGACCATCTAGTACAGGTTCCTCATTGCTTTCTTCACTTAAACTGAGCATACCACGTGTTGAAATTTGGATTCTGAAATAGCGAAATACAAGTCTGGACTTTATAAGAGACGATAATCAATGAGTTTGTTTCGTCCTTTCTTCTCAGGGCTAGTCCAGCTAGGAAAGATCGAACTCATCTGCTCTAAAAAAGTTTGAAGTGTTCTTGTAACTTATTTGCAGAATAAAAGAATTCATTTCATACTTTAGATACAACATTTTATAAACACAACAAAATACACATTTACACATTTACAGTGAACTGGACTCAAAGTCAGGTTGACAATTCCATTTTTAATCTTTTACCCAATAAAACCTCCTTTCTAAGGAGAGGCCTGTGCCAAGCAGTGGCCTATTTAAGGCTGTTGATACCCAATAAAATAAAATAATTTTTGTAATGAAGCAATTAAACTTATAAGCCGTGTTGAAGAGCAACAATGTTGCAAAATTGTGGTCGCGTGATAGCAATTGTACTCCACCGTGGCATCACAAATGATGATGTTGTCTAAATGGCTTCGAGACAAACATTAAATTTTATCCTGTGGGAATTCAGGACCTAAAGTTGTTCGGTCTTCATACTTGTTGTTGTAATAATCACATTGACAATTTAATAAAATGTTTAGAATGACACAAAGAAAGATACACAACACCAGCGGTATTTTCCGATCACCTGATGGAAAGTGACTACCTACACCCATGGACGTCTGCAGCTCAGGAGTCACAATTTTCTGAAAAGGGGTTATATGCCTCCAAAATAAAGCAAGGATTTCTCATCAAAATTAACATTTGTGAATGTTTTAATTTTACGTTTCGCGAAGTAACTGTATAAGAGCCTGATCTATTTAATCATGTATTTTAAATATTTCATTAACCCAATGAAAATTCAAATTCAAGGTTATAGACAATAAATGCAATTTAAATCTATTTTTTATATTTTACTAATTATCTTTGTCGATAATTAGGTCGAATGCAATCAATTTCTTCGTCAAATCGGATTCCAAAAACCAGATATGTTGATGTGTAAGTTTATTCCATCTTCATCTACACATACAAAACCTCATTTGGAAATTAAATCGACCACCGTATTTTTTACAAAGCAAATCTTTTTATATAAATAAAGTCAAGTCTTTAGTTGACTAATTGTGACGTATTTTACGATCGAGGCACACAGTAAGCGGAATTAAAGGGGCAATTGAAGATAGTGCAGTTTTTCGTATCGGCCATCGATTTATGATAGTAGTGACTCTTTTGAAACCCTTATATGGTGAATGTCAGTCCATCCTTATGAAGATAAGTACGCGATGGATTGCCACAAATGTGTGGTTACAGGAACCGGATAATAAGTGAAACTGTCGATTTTCACAGTCATGTGAATACCTATTATTGTTTGTTCAAAGGCACAGAATGACAGTCATGGCTTATTATACAGGGCATATTATTGCTGTAGCGTTGTGTAATAGTAAGCAGGAGTATTGGGTAATCAAGTACATAATTTTGTACTTAATGTTAGAATAATTATAATTGGAAACTGGTTAAGCAGACCTAAGAAGGTATAGAATGGGCTGGACAAATTCTTTCATATAGTTCGTGAGCGCCGTTTCAGTCACCGGTTGGTTTTAGAAGGTTTCATTTTAGCTTTAGACTAGCGTTCGATAGTATATAATAAATTACTTCTGGAATTAAAATGATTATTGTATATTCTATACCTATACATTGCATGATATTGCCTGCCACTACGGTCAGTGCAACTTGGTCGAAATGTTAAGCAATTCAAATATATGTAATTGAATTAATTAAATTAATTCCCAAAGCAATTAAGTAAATAATGCTACATTTCATTTTCATACTTTTATTACACTTTTTGGTTGTAGTGGTGTTTATTATTTTTCTTTTGTTGCCTTAAATATAATCCGAAAGTCATTCGTAAAAACTGATACGGATGAAAAATTCAATGTCAACTTGGGTGTTGTGTTGAGAGTATTATTTAACGAATAAAGACTAAAAAATTACTTTCTGCAATCAAGCAATTTTTCCTTTTATGTATATACAAGGGATGTAGGTAAGTAACAATAAAAATCAATTAAAGACTCGTTACAAAGAACAGTTTAAAGATTTGATTGGTCCAAACGGGTACTTCAGTTCTTGCAGTTGAATACTTGGCATCGGCAGCTTTAAGAAGTGCTTAAGAGTACCATACATAAAACTGAAGAAAAGAATGCAGCTATTGTTCTTCCCGTGCGTACCTAAAGAATATAATTATGCTCAAATACTTATGACTATGTACTAAGTCAAGTCTAAAAACATTTCCACCAGTGTTATAAATTTTTATCTTAAAAATAAAAATAACAGAAATGAGTGTGTCACAATGTGTTATTTAATTAACATACTAGTATACAAAATACATATATATATACTCATACATACATATATATATATATATATATATATATATATATATATATATATATATATATATATATATATATATATAATTTCGGTAAATTATGACGAAATAATCAAGAACGGTCGCTATACAGATAATTTGTTAAATACCATAACAAAATATTGAGTTTTTACCGCAAAGAACTTAGTAAAATAATAATAATATAATTTTTACACATTTCACACACGGCCAGGCCAGGCCAGAAACTGTAGTACACTGAAACTAAAGTTATTTAAAGTTATTTTAACCTATTTCATAATAATGAAACTATAAAAGTAATAAAACATTCTTAATCAGTAAAAAGTAAAGTAAATTTTTACTTTACTATGTTGACAAACAAGCAGAATCACATCACATCACATCAACAGACTTTAATAGTCCACTGCTGGACATAGGCCTCTCCTTAGAAAGAAGGTTTAAACAAAAACAGAATAACAAACAGAATACGCCTACCTAATATCATTACTTATTGATACACTTGAGTAACAATAACAGGTAGACGTGTCACATTACTTTTATCTTGACAACAAAATATCAACTAGCACATAAATAAATGTATTTTCACATTTATAGTATTCAAAGTTTTGACTGCTGCGGTTGGCGGCCTGATTGCATTAAGACGCAATTGGGCCGCTACGCCGCGATTGAAGGGGGGAAATGTTTTCCCCTGAGATAGAGCCTGATTAGGCATGGTGAAATACCATTATCGGTTGATAATGGTATTTAGCAAAATATTACCAGCACAGGTAGTTCCTGATAGCCGGTTCCACCATTTCAAACCGCTTGCTAACAAACCTAAACTTCACCCTCGGAAACAGAGTCAATTTTCTGTAGTGTTCTTCTGTGACGCTTTTGAGACTAAGTTCCACTGCACATTAGATTTATATCTTTACATTAAAACTATGTCGTTAGTATCGTATATAACTTCCGAAGACACTGTCAGTGTCACTGAACTTTATAGTTTCTTAGGCGGTCTGCTATGATAATGTGGTTGTAAAAAAAACAAACGTCTCAATCTCGCTGATATACAACTCGCGGTGCTTCGCAAAAAGTAATTACTGAGTTGGTGTGTATTGTGTCAATTCAAACTGCAAATCTTTCCCATCGTGAATCAATATTCAATATCTAATTGTTAATCGAGAATTTCCTTCATCATTGAACGTTGAGATCGATTAAGTTTGGTCACTTTTTCTGACCAACCCGCACACGAGCCGTCTCGATTAAATCAGCGAATTACTTTTAAAGTTGTCCCCCGAGGCTCAGCTAAAGCTTAAGTTTGGTAGAAGTATTTTCTTGACTTTATAAGTACAATAACTTATTATCTACATCTTTATCTTTCTATCTCGATTGGCAAAAATTGTTTTGTATTATTTTTACAAGATTTAGTCGCTGGAGACAGCATGACTTTACAATGTGTTTTTGTTGTGTCTAAAGAGCTGGTGAAATGGTTAAATAATTTTCAACATGACAGCTCTCATGGTTGGTGCTTCAATTTTTCTTCTAATTAGAGACAGAACTTTTAGCTTGTTTCCAGGCAACGAAAAATATGTATTGCACATACAGCACATATATGCAAATTGTAGTGTTCGAATGCAAGCTAAAGCTACTAAAATATTTATGACCTATGATTGTGCCAGATTAGCAAGCTAAAGTGTCAGTGGGCTGGCCAAAACAGCCGCAGTACCGACAACTATTGAGATAAATAAGTTCTTGAGTGAAGACCACGTCTCTGCAAATTTATAGGACGCCTACAGGCCAGGTTGAGTGTCGATTTTCGCGAGATGGCTGGCAGAAGCTGGATACTAGGAGCCGAGGATTGTTTTAAGTGAAGTGAAATTGGTGAATTCTATGTCTAGCATTGGACCGCGATAGGCTGATAATGCTGATGATTGTGCCAACATCTTTTAAATACAGATCGGTTAGTAATCTTACTCTATAAGAGTGCAGATGTGAATAACTTCATTCTTCGTAACGACCGCATGTCTTTTAAGGATGATTTCATCTCAGATTATATTCTACTGCCTAAAACCAACATACTTTTATAAAATGAGGTCATCGGAACTTCCTATAATCGTTAGAGAGGAAGATACTATTACATATATTTTGTGTGACTAACATTTAATGTTATAACTACATGGATTTCGTTTTGTTCTCCAAATCAAACCTTAGATTTATCCGTAAAATGAACAAAGGAAGTTGGACCAACATATCGGAAACCGCACTTTACTATAATCTAACTGTATAATTAAGGTATCAGAACGGACCCGACGCGCCAAATGACAGCCGCCATTGCCGCCATATTGGACGTAATTTCGGCGTGCGTACGCGCAGATTATAGTGCGAACGAACATTAGCGGCGACGGACGACACGTGATCACTGTCATTTGATTCGTATTCGATTCTGAATTGATATTAAAATGTAATCGATTTCTCCTATAGACTTCGGCAAATTTAGACGTGGGAACGTTTTTTATATTATTCCGATCAAATTGATGTACGAGTATATATCAATAAGCAATATAAGTATTTCTGAATAAGATAATAAGGTGATGACAAGCAACTATTATTTAAATATTATCCGGCAACTTACAATTTTAATTGGATGTTTACATCCGATTTAAATTATTGTTATAAATCTGTAATACTGATGAAAATACTAAGAGTACTTTAGACTTACCTTACTTTCAGACTCCACCAGGTCTGCCGTGCCAATCCAATACACTGTAACTTTTGAAAACGACTTTTGATATTGAAAGCTTTTTTACGGTTTTTTACAGTGTTAAAACCCTAATTTCAATGCAATATAGTATTTTTTAGATTATTGTCTCTTCTAAAATACACTTTAGAATAACAAAAGTATTGATCAGGGATACTAAACCGACTTAAAGAAACTGATTGGTATTGTTAAGGCAAAACACTGTAAATCGAGTTACAGTCCTTTGGATTGGCACGGCAGAGGTGTACTAGCCAGGGAGTGCCTGATTACCTATGTATGTACCTCAGGGCTTTTCGCGTTATCACGGTAAAAATAATAGTTGAAAAAAACTAAAAAACACGATTTTTATAGAAAACCAAACTAAAAAATTCGTTTTTTTTTTAAATCAGTATATTGTCATCGGTCCTCGATATATCTACAAAATTTGAACGAATTCTGACCTCTTAAAGTCAGTCAAAAGCACGCCCAAAGTTACAAAAAAACATACAAACAAACATACAAGTGAAGCTAATATAAAGCGTGTAAAAAGTAGCCTATTTCTTTCCTCAAGAATCAAAGTATCTTCTTACCAAATTTCATCTAAATTGGTTCAGCGATTATTGATTCCCCATACAAACTTCACCCCCCTTTTCAACCCCTCAAAGGATGTTTTCTGGAATAAAAATTACCCTATGACCTTTCCCCGGACTCGGACGATCTCTGTACCAAATTATTCAATTGGAATAAAAACTTCATCATCAGGACATCACGATCAGATATCTCCGAAATACATACGTATGTGAGTCGTTTGTCCTTTATAAATATGAGTTTCGTTCTGTCCATTTCACTACTACATTTAAGTGTTGTACCTACAATTTACACTTTACAACTCTAACAGTTAGTAGGTCTAGACTGTAATTCAGATGAACAGATTGCATCCTCTTTTTTCTGTGTAGGTAAATCTACTGTACAATCTTTACCTGATACTGGATTACAAATGAATCAACAAAAAATTGTAAATCGTCTGGAAAATAACTAGCCTTGAAACAGGATTGTTAATACTAACAACAAAAAAATTAGGGGATTTTTTGTTTGAATTCAAGAAAGACATTCAATACTTTAGGTATAGAGTAGGAGAGGTAGGAGTTAGGTATATTGCACCACACCAGCACGGTGGACTAGGAACAGATAAAGACTTCAACTTAATTAGGAAACCAGCAATATATTGGTCTACTTCTTACTTAGATATTCGTAGATGACATGAGTTAGGTATTATCCAAGTTTTTCAAAAAAGAACACTAGTGATGCGATTTTCAATGAAATAAAAACATTCCTCAGTGCCATCTAATGAAGTAACACCAAACCACGGAGTAACTGCTAATCCTGTATTGCGATATGAAAAGTTCTCACGCCGATACCTACATCATCATCATCAACAGTCTTTACTAGTCTACTGCTGTACTTAGGCCTTTCCTTAGAAACTAGGTTTTGGCCTACTACACCACGCTGGTCAGACGGGTTGGTATAGGGTTGGTTTCAAGTCGCCGAGAAGTTGCGGGGAATTTTCGCCGCCACGGACGGTGTTAAGATCGCCAGGCCCACCAAATGCGCAGAACTGCGCATCTCGGGCCTGGACGACTCCATCACGTCGGAGGATGTCCGCGATGCAGTCATGGAGAAGACTGGGTGCACCGCGGACACCATCAGAGTCGGCACCGTCCGTCCGGGCCCGGGAGGCCTCGGTGCGGTGTGGGTGAGCTGTCCCGTGGCGTCGGCCAAAGCACTGGGCGACGCCGGAAGCATTCTCGTCGGCTTCGTAAATGCCAGAATCACGGTTCTGGCCGCGAGGCCGATGAGGTGCTTCAAGTGCCTAGCCGCGGGACACACTCGCACCAAGTGCGAGAGCTGTTTTGACTGCAGCGGATTATGCTTCCGCTGCGGTCAACCCGGGCACAAGGCGGCAGAGTGCTCTGCCGCCCCCCACTGCCCGGTGTGTGAGGCGGGCAAAAAGCCCGCCAATCACATGATGGGGCAGGGGGGCTGCAAGCCTCCCCGCGCTTCTCGGCAAACGCCGGGGTCTAGCCTGCCGACCCAGGCTACCCCCGACGTCAATATTGCGTCGACGTCGACGCCCATGGAGGAGGTTGTAGAGACGATCCAGTAATGGATCAAGTCTCCAACCTCCTGGTCCAGACGAATCTGAACCACTGTGCTGCGGCGCAGGATCTCTTCCTGCAAACCATGGCACAGTGGTCGATAGGTGTTGCCGTAGTCGCGGAGCCCTATTTTGTCCCTCCCCGTCCAAACTGGATGGGTGACCGGGACGGCTCCGTGGCAGTCGTCGGCTCCACGGCGGCTCATTCCCCGCCCTTGTCGCTAAGAGACAAGGGTACTGGATATGTTGCCGCCGATTGGGGGGGAATCACCATTTATGGTGTATATTTCTCCCCCAACCGGAGTTTGAACGACTTCGAGGTCTTCCTTAACAACTTGGAGGCCTCGATGCGGCGACTAGTGTCTGGGCACGTCCTCGTGCTGGGGGACTTCAACGCAAAGTCCATTGCGTGGGGTTCCCCTGCGACGGACGCCAGGGGCGAAGCCGTCGAGGAGTGGGCGGCGTCGGTGGGCCTCTGTTTGCTGAACAGAGGCTCCACCAACACGTGCGTGCGACGGCAGGGGGGGTCGATAGTGGACCTTTCGTTCGCTACCCCTGCAGTCGCCGCACGAGTAAGGAACTGGTGTGTCCTGGAAGAGGTCGAGACGCTCTCGGATCATTTGTACATCCGATTCGAGCTCTCCCGGTCCCAGGACCCCAGTAGGGGTCACGCGGCGCGGCGCCCTTCCCGCTTCCCGCGGTGGGCTGTCGCCAAGCTCGACAGGGACCTACTAGAGGAGGCGGCCATTATTCACTCTTGGCTGTCTCCGCAGGCCCCGACCGAGGAGGTCGACATGGGGGCTGGTCGCTTCTGCAATGCGATTACGCAGATTTGCGATGCGGCCATGCCCCGCGTTCGTGGTTGTCGGCCTCCAAGGAAGGAGGTCTACTGGTGGTCCCAGGAGTTGGCGGACCTCCGTGCGGCCTGTGTACGTGCCCGGAGGTCCCTCACCCGTAGTCGGCGACGTCACCGCGGGGTCGGTGAGGAGGTGGACCGGCTTCATGAGGAGTACCGAGAAGCTCGGAAAACTCTGAGGCTGGCCATCTGCCGCGCCAAGGATGCATGTAGAGAGGAGATGCTGGAGAGTCTCGAGCGTGACCCCTGGGGTCGCCCTTATCGTGCGGTGCGTCAAAAGCTCCGCACGTCGGGCCCCCCCCTTACGGAGACTCTCCAGCCCAGCTTCCTGCAGGGAGTGGTCGAGGGCCTATTCCCGCAGCGGGCGGAGCACACACCCCCGTCGATGGCTGCATCGGCCGGAGACGACGGGGGCAGCGAGGTTGACGTTCCGCCCGTCAGGGAATCGGAGTTGGGGGCGGCTGTTCTACGGATTAGATCCAAGAACACTGCCCCCGGGCCGGACGGGGTTCCAGCCCGAGTGATGGCCCGAGCCCTCGACTACATGTCGGACCACCTCAGGGAAGTGTTAGACGCTAGCCTGGCGTCCGGACGCTTCCCTGAGCGCTGGAAATGCGGGAAGCTGGTCCTGCTGCAGAAGCCGGGACGGCCTGCCGAATCGGTCGCGGCCTATAGGCCTATCGTGTTGCTGGACGAGGCGGGTAAACTTTTTGAGAGGGTGCTCTCTGCCCGCATCGTCCGGCACCTTTGCGAGGTTGGCCCCGATCTGTCGGACGCCCAATTCGGTTTCCGAGAGGGGCGTTCGACGATCGATGCCGTAATGCGCCTTAGGGCCGTGACCGAGGAGGCCGTAAGCTGCGGCGGAGTGGTGTTGGCGGTGACCTTGGACATCGCCAACGCCTTCAATAGTCTGCCATTCAGCTGCGTCAGGGAAGCGCTCCGCTACCACGGAGTGCCGGAGTACCTGAGGCGGCTGGTGGCAGACTATCTTGAGGAGCGAACCGTCATGTACGAGGACCGAGATGGCGTCTTGAGACGCAGGGCCATGTCGTGCGGTGTTCCGCAGGGGTCTGTCCTAGGACCTCTCCTGTGGAACATCGGGTACGACTGGGCCCTACGAGGGCGTCTCCCCCCCGGGCTGGGTGTAATCTGCTACGCGGATGACACCTTGCTCACGGCCCGGGGGGCTAACTTCCAGGAGGCGGCGCGCCTGGCCGCCACGGGAGTTTCCCTGGTGGTCGGGCGCATTGAGACGTTGGGCTTGCGGGTGGCCCTGGATAAGACGGAGGCCCTATTATTTCATGGGCCCCGTCGTGGTCCACCCGCCGGCGCCTCAATCGAGGTCGGCTCGGTCCTCGTACCGGTCCGGGCCCAGATGAGGTACCTGGGTCTGGTCCTAGACGGTAGGTGGCTCTTCGACGAGCACTTCCGACAGCTTGGTCCGAAGCTGGTGGACACTGCCTCCGCCCTAGGGCGACTTTTGCCCAATTTGGGCGGGGCCAGTGTTCCCACGAGGCGGCTGTACGCGGGGGTTGTCCGGTCCATGGCGCTTTATGGTGCACCGGTGTGGGTGGCGGCTCTGACCGCCCCGAATAGGGCGCGCCTCTGGCGCCCCCAGAGGATATTGGCGGTCAGAGCCATACGCGGATACCGCACGGTGTCCACCGAGGCGGCTTGCGCCTTGGCCGGAACACCCCCGTGGGATTTGGAGGCGGAAGTGCTCGCCGAAGTTTATCGGCGAGTGGCTGACTTCCGGGCGGAGAGCGGATTTCGCCCTCCGCCCGAAGACGTGCGCGAGTGGCGTGAAGCCGCTCGCCGAGCCACCATGGTGAGATGGTCGTTCCGGCTGGAGACTCCACGCGCTGGCTTCGCCGCCGTGGAGGCTCTCCAGCCGGTCATCGCCGAGTGGGCAGGGCGGCAGCACGGGACCCTTTCCTTCCGGCTGACGCAGGTGCTTTCCGGGCACGGTTGCTTCGGAAAGTACCTGTACTCGGTCGCTAGGAGGGAATCGAGTCCCGCCTGCCACCACTGCGACTGCAGTGAGGATTCGGCCCAGCACACGCTGGCGGTTTGCCCCGCATGGGCGACGCAGCGCCGGGCCCTTACTGCAGTCATCGGAGCAGATCTCTCGCTACCGGCCGTAATTCGCTCCATGGCCGGTAGCGACAGTTGTTTTTACCGCGGTCGCAACCTTCTGCGAGGAGGTAATCTCGCAGAAGGAGGCGGCGGAGAAGGCCCGGGAGGACGACCTCCACTCGGACCTGATCCGCCGCCGGCGAACCGGGCGGCGGAGGCGCGCTTACCTGCGCCTCATGCCGCCCTGAGGGTGGCCGCGGGTGGACGGGATGGGTTCTCCCCTCCACCCGCATTAGTTGGCCAGCCGCGAGGGGGCGGCGTCCGCGTGTGCCGGACGTCGCCTAAAGAGAGGAAAGATCAGAGACGGGGCCCGCAACAGGAGCGGGCCGGCGCTGGGAGGGGTCCAGAAGGCGATAACTACCTGGACCCCTCCTACACTGGAAGCGCAAAGAGGGCACACCGTGTGGTTTTAGTCGGTTCGAGTCCGACACACCGCCCCGCCGAACGAGAGCCCCGGCGGGGTGACGGTCCGAGGGGATTTCCACACGTAAAAAAAAAAAAAAAAAAAAAAAAGGGTTGGTTTCAAGTGTGTTGAACATAGGGTACGACTGGGCCCTTCGAACCGATTTCCCCCCCGGGCTGGGTGCAATTTATTATGATACTCTGGTTACAGCCCGGGGGGCAAACTTCCAAGAGGCGGCGCGCCTGGCCACAAGGGGAGTCTCCCTGGTGGTCGGGCGCATTGAGGCGCTTGGCTTACGGGTGGCCCTAGATAAGACGGAGGCTCTGTTATTTCATGGGCCCCGTCGTGGTCCACCCCCTGGCGCCTCAATCGCGGTCAACTCGGTCCTCGTACCGGTTCGGGCACAGATGAAATATCTGGGCCTGATCCTCGACGGGAGGTGGCTCTTCCGACAAAAGTATTGATCAGGGGTAACTTCCGACAGCTTGCTCCAAAGCTGGTCGGCGCTGCGTCTGCCCTAGGGCGACTTTTGCCCAATTTGGGTGGACCCAGTGTCGCGACAAGACGGCTGTACACGGGGGTTGTCCGGTCAATGGCACTATACGGTGCACCGGTGTGGGCGGCGGCTCTGCCCGCCCAGAATAGGGCACGCCTCTGGCGCCCTCAGAGGGTATTGGCGGTCAGAGCCATACGCGGTTACCGCACCATTTCGACGGAGGTGGCTTGCGCGTTGGCCGGCACTCCCCCGTGGGATTTGGAGGCGGAAATGCTCGCCGAAGTTTATCGGCGAGTGGCTGACTCCCGGGCGGAGAGCGGATCTCGCCCAACGCCCGAAGACGTGCGCGAGTGGCGCGAAGCCGCTCGCCGAGCCACGATGGCTCATTGGTCGTTCCGGCTGGAGACTCTACGCGCTGGCTTCGCCGCCGTGGCGGCTCTCCAGCCGGTCATCGCCGAGTGGGAAGGCGGCAGCACGGGACCCTTACCTTCCGGCTGACGCAGGTGCTTTCCGGGCACGGTTGCTTCGGAAAGTACCTGCACTCGGTCGCTAGGAGGGAACTGAGTCCCGCCTGCCACCACTGCGACTGCATTGAGGACTCGGCCCAGCACACGCTGGCGGTCTGCCCCGCATGGGCGACGCAGCGCCGGGCCCTCACTGCAGTCATCGGAGTGGATCTCTCGCTACCGGCCGTAGTACGCTCCATGGCCGGTAGCGACAGTTGTTTTACCGCCGCCGCAACCTTCTGCGAGGAAGTAATCTCGCAGAAGGAGGCGGCGGAGAAGGCCCGGGAGGACGACCTCCACTCGGACCCGATCCGCCGCCGGCGAACCGGGCGGCGGAGGCGCGCTTTTCTGCGCCTCATGCCGCCCTGAGTGTGGCCGCGGGTGGATGGGGTGGGTTTCCCCTCCACCCGCATTAGTTTGGCCAGCCGCGAGGGGGCGGCGTCCGCGTGTGCCGGACGTCGCCTAAAGAGAGGTTAAAATTTTGAGACGGAGCCCGCACCAGAAGCGGGCAGGCGCTAGGAGGGGTCCGGATGTCTTAATAACAGCTGTTCCCGGATCCCTCCTATTACAGGCGCAGAGTGGCACACCGTGTGGTTTTAGTCGGTCCGAGTCCGACACACCACCCGGCTGCAAACCCCGGTGGGGTGACGGTCCGAGGGGATTTCCACACGTTAAAAAAAAAAAAAAGAAAGGGTTGGTTTCAAGTTTTCCTTCTCTTTGCAGTGCTGCTGTCTTGCGTAGTTTAATCCCTTAGTCGGCTTTTACAACACCCACGGGATTAATAGCGGTGGCGACACTCTGTATCTCTCTCTCTCTCTCTCTTTATCTCTAGTCGTCATCTGTATCATTAGTCACTAGCACACACATCATTAGCATAATTTTATAGAACTTCCCAACATCCACCATTGGGCCGCGGCCCGCCAGGCATGATCACTTCGCCTAGTCGGAGGATTCTCAGGAAAGTTATAATTTTTAAATAAAATTACACATTCTAACATAAGCTCAGGAAAGAAAACCTGTCCAAATTTACGATACCTAAAGCCTTAGACAGGGAAAAAAGCTTCACTGATTTAGATTGACATAAAAACAAAAGTATAAAAATAATAATTGGTATTAACTTTAAAAGTATTTACTAAGTTAAGCTTACACAAAGAGAAGTTACGTTTCTATTAACTGGATAAATCTCGTAAACGTATCTTAATACAGAAAATAGCTTACAATCCTCTTTAATCTGAAAAACGACAAGTACAACATCAAAGTTACAAAACTTACTTTTCCGTGCGCTATGCCACGTAACTTATGCGGCCGGCGCAAAAACATGCGCCTGCGCAGTCGAACGGCATCCCGCCCTAATAACTAACCTTATGTGACTTGCTACTTTTTACTCCATTACATTTTCAAAGGAAATTCAGCCTTAAACACATGTAAATTTCCTAAGCCGATTGGGTAGTGTTATAATTGTTAATTAAGCTTTAATTGCTTTGTACGTCAAAAAACTACCAATCGAAGAGCTATACTTGTTAAGATAGGAATGTAGGTGTGGGGTAAATAAGATTATTTTTGTATAAATACGTCATCTTGTATTTCCATATAAGACTTATACCAGAATGAACTGGCTACTTATATAATGGATATATACTATACAATATATACTTATACAATAGGGATCGCACTTCTAAGCAACAATTGTTTCTTCTAAGTTGAGATAAAAGCTCACAAAAAAATTGTAGGTCAAGGTCAAAGAATGGTGAAGAATCAGCCTGCCAACTAAATTGAGGACATCAAACCCTCGAATATGTTAGTTAGAAAAATTTTATAGTCTGTTCTGTAAGAAACACAATCAGAGTTCACGAGATTTCGGTAAAGCCATCAATTATGGTACTAAATATGCAAATATTGTCGTTTAATTCAAACGGTTGCCAAAAAGTCTTATAAACAAATTACCAGCTAATAATACTTACCGGTAATAAGGAAAAGGCTGCGGCACGTGCAGATCCATTGGCATCGATGCATGTGCATGCGTATGGGAGTACTCATGCTGCATCATTCCGTGCATGCCATGGCCCAGCATGGCTGCCCATGGCGACGACGTGAAACTACCGGGGTGCTCCATTCTCACACACTATTGTTCCATGTTAAAAATGTTGTTCCTTTTTAAAATCATCTTTCACTTCACTGTTCTATATTCAAAATTGTAGTTTCACTTTAGTTCCGTTTTATATTTTTAACATTTTTAAATTGCACTGATTAACTCTTGACAAGGCTGCTGAAATAAATGTACACCAAACTTTTTAAGTTTATTCCTGTGTCTTAAGTTTACTTAACCTAGCCTGTTGATCCAGAGGTTGGTAGCCTGTTGGTCCTAACTGCTAAACAAGATGTCATAGGTTCTATTCTAATTTAAATACAATATGTAAATATTTAGAAATGGATAAGCATTTTTATTAGGACTTTGGTTACCATAGCATAGGCTCTGCCTGATTTAGGATCAGACGGTCGTTTGTGATATGTGAAGAGTGTTATTATTATTCAAAACAACGAGCAATTTTTTTTAATATAGTTAAGTATAAGTTATAGACCTACTGTAAAAAAATTACATACATAAATGGCCTCAGTTCAGGACAATTTTCGTACATGGAGGGGACTAATTTAAGGAGTTTAAATTGTATTTTTTTTTCACACACAGTCGTCAGAATAAATCTAATTATATTTTTAGAAGGTTTTAATTTTTAAAAGTTCTAGATTAAAGTAGATTTTTTTATAATTTATTTCGTTGTATTTTTCGCGTTACTACTACTATTACTATAGGTATTCACTAACGCACTAGGAATATACCTTGTGTCGCGGGAACTTCACAATCAAACATGAAACGGACACAAGGACTCAGAACAACAATTTGTGCATCACACAAAGTGCTGTCCTATATGGGGATCAAACCCGCAACACTCAGCGCAGTAGGATGCGGCAAGGTGACCGCTGAAGCCACTACGTCATCCGTGCAGTCATTTTACAAATATTAAAGAATTATCACAAAAAATACATTTAGAGCGGTAGAAATCGTCAGATAATGATGACATTCAGTTAATTTACATTATTTATTTGCTCTAACTCATGCCTATATTGAACTAAGATCACTATTTTTAGAATGTGTTACCTATATAAATTTGCCGTGTAGTGACGGATTAAGAATACAGAGTGTCACCACAATAATTCTACGAGCGAACGAGCGAACTACGCAGGACAACAGCACTGCAGAGAGAAGGAAAACTTGAAACAAACCCTATACCAACCCGTCTGGCCAGCGTGGTATAGTAGGCCAAAACCTCCTTCCTAAGGAGAGGCCTATGTCCAGCAGTGAGCTATTAAAGATTGTTGATGATGATGATGATGACGATTATTTCAGGTCCTCCCCGAATTGACACCATGCCCTATCCCAGGGGAAAAGACTTCCCTCCTTCCTATCCATCCTATCCTATCCCCTATTGCATCAATCAATCTGCCACTAGAGGTCCCAACTTTCTGGCGGCCGGCGACCCCGTCGACGGCTGGTATCGTCGCCGACTTCCTCTACGGTCGGGATCGGCCCTCTCCAGATCACGTTCAACGGTCTCTTTTTGGAGCATTACAACTTCACAGAAAGAGACCGCTGCGCCCCATCCCTCCTCATCCGCCAGCATGGCAGCAATAGAGCGGAGTCGAGCAGGTTATGGCGCCACCGCGCCAAGCGGAGGGCACGTAGCGGAGGGTAGCGGAACGGTGCGGTGCGGTGGGTAGGGTAGACTTATCAGAACATGACTCGAGCGGTGCATTTTAGTTTAGTTATCGAAATTACGGCAGAAACTTCACACGTCATCGAAATTATATTGTATGTGTATCAAAATAGATGAGATTATTTACTGACAACATGCCGTATGATCAATCCAAGAGATTGAATTTGACTGATCGGAACACCACTCAATGCAGCTCCGGTCTACTTAACTCAGCTCAGCTCCACTCCACTCCGCCACGCTCCGCTTCAATGGAAACACTTGCCACTTTTCACTGCTCTTCTCCGCTCCACCCCGCGTCAGTGGAAACGCACCCTTAGTCATGTCAGTCACGTATGTCACCCATAGTCGTTTGAATCTGTAATTCATCATGAGTGATGATTTTTGTAAAATAGTTATTTGGCAATCGTGTTTGTATTTTTATTCTTTTAAATTTTCAAATATAAGTATATTATCATGTACATACTTTTAAATCTTTGATCTAAATATACGTATACTCTCAATTTCCGTCATGTCATTGGGCAGTTTATTTCACCACAATAAACGGTCGTGTGCTGCCTGTATCCAACTTCTTCCTCAGTCCAAGTTACTATTACAACGGAATTATAAGCTCAGTTAAAATTCAGATAAATAAAGACATAAAAGATTGCTAGACAGAGAGCACACAATAATCTTCTAACTAGTAAAATAAATAAAACAAAACAGTAATTATCAAACCAATATTTGCGTACCGCTTTTAATCGTAGGATACCGTCTCAGAACATGTTTTCCCATAAAGTTTTATTTGATGTCTACCTACTTACACCAATTTCTCAACTCAAGCGTAACCATAGGACGCAATATACCTACAAAGCAAATGCGATTAATTTCAATATAAACATTATGATAACGGACGTATGTTTATCTTACAAATACCTGACCATAATGTACTTCGTCGAGTGTTCGGAAAACATCGTAAATCATCGACAAACGTCAAATAAATGTGCCATGTGTCATTCTTCACAAATATAGAATACACAGAAATGTGCTTGATTCTTTTGTGGTACCTACCTTTTCATACGAGTATAAGTTGAGTTACAGTTACATTTAATTCTACAAAGTTATACTAGAACATATTAGTTATGACATGATATGAAAATTTCTGTTGATTGCATCTAGATAAATCCGTATGTTTACAAGCTTTTTTAAAAACTAACTCTTGTTTCATTAAAAGCTAAATTTAACCATTCAAAGTGGCTAGGTAAGCCTCGAACCTACTTTACAAGACGCATTCCTTTTTAAAAGAGTTATCAAGTGTTTTATAATGTTATAAGCATTTCGTTGTGTTTTAACTACAATCGTCAATGAAATTACTAGACCTAGCTAAAAACTATTAATATATAGGTTCAAGTTAGTGATTGTGATTACATATACGTACTTAACAGTCTTAACTTTATGTTTAAATGGTGACTCGTATTTATCGACCATTAATAAAGAGGTCGTATTACTTCTGTACACTACAACACACACACACACAAACCCAAACTACACAGAAACACTCGTACACATACATGTCATGTGTGATACACACATAATACACAATTACGTGCATACAGTTTTACACTACACACCTTTTGTTTTATTTATTATTATATACCATTTCTTACTAAACGTTTATTGACAAAGTACCTACTTATAGTATATTCTTTGTAAATCTTTTAAAATTTAAAAAAAAAATAAAAATCAATAGTTGTGTGTGACAGACACCGAACTTCTGTTCGAAGGAGGAAGGCGTCGGTGTCTGTCACACAGTTCATACTACCACTGACATCGCCGTTAACTCTATCTTTAAAGTGCCATGTGCCATTTAATTTTTATAATATTAGCATAGATTTAAAGATATAAAATATTCTGTGCCTGATTTTGTTCAGTAGGATTATTATTATTATTACTTTAATTTATTTATAGCTAAAGTAGGCTGCAAAGGCTAAAATCTTACAATTTACCATCGCAGTCCTTTTTTTAAATAATTGTAATTTTTTAGGTTATTGTAGTTCATCTACTAATCATTATTTAACATTACATAAAGAAATTTCTTACTTTGATATTTTTGATTATCAATCATTTTTACCACATCTTCCGTTTTGTACATTTTGTCATATTATTCGTTTGAAATATGAATCGGATGGATCAGATTGAACCGCGCATTGTTACAAGATTAAGATAGATATTTAAGAAGATTTAAGATAGATAACAGATTTTATTACTGAGTGACTAATTGGAATTAACACAAAATTCCAATTTAATTACATAGCAGTAGAAACTTTTCAAGAAGAAAGAATAAAAAAAATATTACAGCTACTTAATTTAATTTCAATTCAATAAGTGTTCATGTTTGTTAAAAACAAAATTAAAAACCAAAGTTCAATTTATGCCAAGTAAGAACCAAAGTTCAATTTATGCCAAGTAAGAGCACCGACTGAACGGCGCTGAAAGACAATCTCGCTCTACCATAACTGCGGTAGGGTATAGGATGGCGGCCTGATTGGGCCGCCACGTCGCGATTGAGTGGGGGAAGTGTTTTTCCCCTAGGATAGGGCCTGATTAGGCATGGTGTCAATTCGGGGAGAACCTGAAATAACATGGTCCGGGTCCTCCCAGAGTAGGGCTCCTGAGGATGGCCGTGGGAGTGGTTTTATTGGAATCACCAAATACTCCTGGCTCCTGAGTCCCCAATATTCAGAAATAACAATTATGGATTGCGGTTATTTCTATCCATATATTGGGTTACTGGTTATTTCTATCCAATGAAATAACTTAATATTCTTAAAAAAAAAACATCTAGAAACGCTTACTTCTAGGGGTCTAGTGTATACTCTACAACGACAGGTTCATGAAATAAAACAAGACATTGGAAATGGTTGAAAATCGACAGCCAAGCGATCTCTAGTAAATATGAATATAGACATTAAGCTCGTGGCTAAATAGTAACCGAATAGATTAGCATATTGCAAAGTTAAGTAATCCCAGTCAGTTAGATCCAGGTCAGTCTATGGTGGATGGGTGATCATTGTTAACACAAAGAGACCCGTCCGTGCCTCGTCAAGCACGTTAAGCTGTCGGTCCTAGTTACCATACGAACATCTTTGGCAATCAGTACGCGCAGTTGGAGCCCTAAAAATCAGACAACAATCTACCTATAGAACTTGGATATTACCTAGTCCTTGCTTGTAAAGCTCTGATGACAGTCGCTCCCCTTAAAAAATCGAAGTTCAGTAGTTCAAAAAGGCTTGGATGATGACATACCCTCATAGGCCATAAATTATAATACAAATCACATTGATTAATTCTAGGTTTATTGATACAA